TGTGAACAGTGATGGATGATTTTATAAGTAAAATAATGAGGGAGTTTGATAAGAGGCAACATATAATCTTAGGAGAGTGAAGCAGCAAACGAGAGATGTGGCTTAAAGCACCTTAGTTTAAACATAAAAAGGCTCCACCTAAAGCTGAGTGGCTTAAAGGAAACAATATCGATAAAGTTCAGTAGGGCCATTGGAGGCTTGTGTCATGGCTGAATCATAAGAAGGAAGTTATCGAAAGAAATTTGTTGATTAGATATGAAACTATAGTTCTCAAAAGCATGGTTGTAGCTTGCCATTTTAGATTATAGGAGTTGAAATGTAATGCATTACATTTACAGAGCTAATTCCACTAGCCACACCACTGTAATTAGCAGCAACAGTCAGAGTATATCTTAATATTGAAAGTGTGTTAGTGCGTGTAATCAAAGTGCCATGAACTTTAGTCGCTGAAGAGATTAAAAATAAAACAAATTTTAAAATATAATTATGAATGCTGTTGATCCTTCCACAGCATTATGGACATTTTCCAGGCTTCATATACATGGTAAAATCCTATTCTAGGAGCTAAAAGTTCAGAGTCGTGTACCAGAGTGTGGTGCTAATAGTTGTCTTCGTCAACAGAGCTTATCCTGGCGTATTGGATACTACTTGTGGCGATTCCCAAGGACTAAATTCAAAACTAAGTTTAATACTCACTGGGTAAGCCAGTAGTTGATCTGAATTGCACAGCATTGCACTGATTCTAAATACAGTATATCAGTTTAATGTACTGTAGTAGTAAATGTTGACCCTTCTCTGTATTATTGCATTACATTTTGCTTTTGCAAGCCTAGATGTAACCTTTATTCAATAGAATTATATACTTGTACATTCTGTAGTTAATTACTGGTATATACGAGTATATAATCATATGTATATACAGTACTGTATTTCTTATTAGGTATTCATGGTCAGGATAACTTGTGTTGGTGTCCACAAACAAACTTGTATGCCAGCTTTAAACTTTTAAGTCTTACATACGGTGGTGCAAAGAGGGCCCAAATTTCCTATTGTTGTTGGATTGTGTAACCTTTGGTGGCAGATTTTAAAGCTTTATAAAACATGGTGTGGGTGGGGAAGACCTTGAACAATATATCGAAAAATAAGGATTGCTGCCTTAGACGTTTTACATATATTCTTTGATACCATGAAGAACTCCTATTAATCACATGTCATTTCATAAGTGGTCTTGTAATGGACAAAATTATTTTTGTACCGTCTGTACTGTGTAATGCTCTGTAGAAACTTTTTACGAAATGTAACAGCCCCATACAAGGTACCAAAAAACTCTTTTTTTTCCAATGTGCTGTTCTCTATAACTGTAAAATGATATTTGCAAGTCCTGAAATACCATATACGCCTTACATTCTTTCTTCCATTCCTTTTTATGAGCGGTATCTTACTGTGTGATGGTTCCGAGGATCAACGTCTCGGTGTCGGTGGAAATATCTGATATTCACACCCATTTTAACCATGAAGCCTACCTTGTTCCTGCCATACTTTGCTCACTACACTTAAACTAATGTTTTTATTTCTTAAGCTTGTTATATTATCTTATTTCTATTGTGTTACAATCACAATAACTTTTAAATTTTGACAGTACGATACAGTACAGTATGTATGAATTTACATGGGATAGTAATACTATCCCATGCAAATTCACCACACCCATTAACACTATCATGTGTAGCGCATGAGCGCCACAGACTTTGACGTCGTGGGGCGGATGGGCAGGCGAGCGTGCGGCGACGCCTAAATGTGTATACTCGTTTCAGTTTTCTCACCTTAATTCTTGTGCTACATCGCCCGTTTTGGTATCAAATTGTTCGCAATATAAAGGCGCGCATTTTAAAATTAGTCTCATAATAATAGAGCAATAACTGGAATTTTAACAAATGTTTTAATTTTGGACGCTCATCACAATTATTTATATCTTTCCAGTGTTCTGACATCAATTTTCGTGTTACGTCGTTCGTTTTGGTATCAAATTGTTTGCAATCTAAAGGTGCGCATTTTAAAACTAGTCCCATAATAGCACAATAGAATTTTAACAAATATTTTAAAATTTAGACCCAAAAACGTATTTATTATCTTTCAAGTGTTCTGACATCGTTTCATGTTACATCTTTCATTTTGGTATCAAATAGTGCGCATTCTAAAGGTGCTTATTTTGAAACTATCCCGAGGTCGATCGGATAAAAAATGAATTTTATACAAATATTTTTGGAGTGGATGAGAGTCCTGTCCACGGCTAGGACTTGGAAGAAAAAAAGTGGACGTGATCGGTGTCCAAAGCGAGCGAGTGTTAATATTTCTTTCTGAGGGAAGCCCCGTCAGCTCCCTGGAGCTATCCAGGCTGAATGGATATGTATATCTTTCTGGCATCAGTTAATGCATGGAGTTCTTGCCTACCGGGGACCACGAGCCAGAGCCTAGAATAGAACCAGTGAAGAGCAGAGGTGCCATAGGCACAATCAGAGAACACTGTATAAACATCAGAGGTCCGCGGTTGTTCAACGTCCTCCCAGTAAGCATAAGAGATATTGCCGGAACAACCGTGGACATCTTAGAGGAATCTAGATTTATTCCTCCAAGGAGTGCCGGACCAACCAGGCTGTGGTGGGTATGTGGGCCTGCGGGCCGCTCCAAGCAACAGCCTAGTGGACCAAACTCTCTCAATTCAAGCCTGGCCTCGGGCCGGGCTTGGGGAGTAGAAGAACTCCCAGAACCCCATCAACCAGGTATCAACCAGGTAACCTAGCCCCCTCTAGAGAGGCACGAGGAGCAATGGCCTATAGAGACCCCCCCCCCCCCCCTATGGTTGGGAGCATTCCATGTCTGCCATTGACCGGGACAAGCACCCAGAAATGTAGGCGCCCCAAAACAAACCCCTATTCTGGTAAAACTATTGCAACAGAAGGCCGAACAAGTGGACAGAACTCCCAAAACGAAAATTAGCAAACTAGCATGACGTCATCATGTCGCCGCGCCGCTGTCTGCCAACCCCCTCCCCTCCCTCCCTAGGAGGGGGAAAGGGGAGCCCCAGACCCACCCACTGGCAACCCAACCTTCAGTTCTTAAGCTGATGGAAGTCTGGTGCAGTCGTGCCTCTGGCTCCGGTTTGTTTAAATTCTGTGCCTTGTGGTGTGGGGGCGCTCTACAGGTGGTGCGTGAGCCGGGAGACGTATTCCATGGTACTCAAGCTGCATGCACCTAGGGTTCCCTTCCCTAGGTGCCCTGTAAGTACTGTCCTTAGGGCTTGGGGCCTTCTTCCACAAGTCACCTTGGGATCTATCTTCACTGTGCCGTTTACTGCTCGGTATTTGGCTACCCTTGGGGTCAGCTGGGGTTTTTCTTACCCTTGTTTGTCTCTGGGTAGGGGGGTAGTTTTCGTCACTGGTAGGGGCATTGGGTACTGCACAGCTAGTTTTCACCTATGACAGTAGCCGGCTCTGTTCCGCCTGGGTACGTTGTCCTTTTGCAGGGGTTATGTTTTGTTTTTGTTTTCTTCCCGGTGGGGGTCTGCCTTTTTGGTCCCCCATAGCTATTCTTGGAGTACGGTATATATATTTATACAGGTATACCTGTATTTGTGTGTTTAGTGGTCCTCCCCTCTTGGCCCCCATGAGTGGACACGTCTCGGGGGAGGGGGGGGGTTCAGTTTAGCAATTTGTTTGGTAGACTTGGGTGCCGGATTGCAGTACCCTGCCTGGGCTTCCCTTAGCGTGTAACCATGGCTAAGGGCCCTGGAATACCCCACAGGGGCTACATGGTCCGATGGATGTGACCCGAGTCCTCCCTCGCGTCTTGGGAATTTGAAGGTTGCTCTGTTCCCTTGTCTCAGGGTGACACTCGCCTGTTTTGCCTCCGCCATGCTGCCTGTTGGGTCGATGATTATTTTGATCCGGAGTCGTGCGACGTGTGGGGTCTGTACGTGCTCCTGTTCACCCAAGCCACTGATAATGATGTGCAGGTGCAGGCAGCTTCGTCCTCGTGGTAGGTTCTTTTGATGCACTCTTCTTCTCGGGTGATGTTTGAGTCTGCTGCTTCCTGAGGGGTCCTAGGGTTGCTGCTTGGTTGGTCAGGCTGGGGGTGCTTTCTTTTGTTGTTCGGTTGCGGCTCTTCGCTGTTCTCTGCGCGTCTTTGCCTCTGGGGTTGTGGACGCACTTTGGTTTTCCCAGATTCCCTTACTTCCCTCCTTCCTGTTCTGGGGTTCGGGTCTCCCGGGTCGATGGCAAGGTCCTTTCTTTTAGTCTGTGGTCTTGTTTTATGTTAGGGCGCGTGGCATCTGCCTCCCGTATCCTTCTCTCTTTTCCTTATCTGTGGTGAGGTAGCTCTGGGGAGCCGATGGGGCTTCCCCTAGAAAACCAGCACTGAATGCAATGAAACGCCATTTTCTGGGTGAGTCCTGGAGGCTCCCCGGCATCCATCCCTCCCTCCCTCCCGGTCGGCGATGTTTTTCTCGCTTTTTGACATCCAGGCTAAGAACTGAAGGTTGGGTTGCCGGTGGGTGGGTCTGGGGCTTCCCCTTCTGCCTCCCCTTTTGTTTTGGGGCACCTACCTTTTTGGGTGCCTGTCCTGGTCGATGGCAGACATAGAATACTCCCAACCATAGGGGGGGGGGGTCTATAGGCCATTGCCCCTCGTGCCTTTCTAAAAGGGGCCAGGTTCTGGCTCATGGTCCCCGGTAAGCAAGAACTCTATACATTGACTGATACCAGAAAGATACACCATTCAGCCTGGATAACACCGGGGAGCCATCAGGAATTGCCTAGAAAATGGGGTTTCCTTACATTCAATGCTGGTTTTTTACTTCAGCACTTGCAACTTGCCCACATTTTAAGCTGTAAATTTCCAGTAATTTTTATTAAATGAGTTACTCAAATTGGTATATGATTAATTCTTTTATTTAAATTATTATTTAGTTCTTAGTTCATTTTTAAGTGCTTTTATTTTTGCAGGTTTTATCTCAAGATGTGAAAAAGGAAACTCCTCTCCAATTCAAATTCCGAGCCAAATTCTATCCCGAGGATGTGGCCGAGGAAATCATACAAGATATTACACTGGTGAGTAATGTTGACTTGTAATATTTTTGTAGCATTTTGTTAGTTTGCAAAGCCATTGTATAAGTCATGCCAGGAATGAATGGTTAATAAAATGGATCTTGCAGTACCGATTTATACTGTGGAAATGTCATTATTAATAGGGAAAGCTGCTTGTATTATTTGAAGGACTAAGAAGCCTGCATGAACAACTTGGTCCCAGCCTTTTTATATTAAAGTCGAAATTTATTTAATATCAGACAAATTGCCTTTATACTGCATTTAAAATAATTTGTATCAAGTACGATGCTGTCCAAGGAATAATAGAAAGACTGCTGAACTAAAGTAGAATAGGTAACCTGTACACCACTGGGATCATAATATATTTTTACTATGAAGGGTGCAGGATATAATACAGTATTACTGTACTATATAATACTGTAGATGGCTCTTAAAGCTCAGAGCTCAAATTCTTTAGTGTGAATATAATGGCATTGTTATTCTTCAATGGTAACAAAATGTTATATTTGACTACAGTACAGTACTGTGCATTGATTAACTATATTTAATAATTAGTACAAAGTGTCACAGCGTACGTGCTGACAACATACAGTATGGGAAAGAATTGAAATCAGTCTCCGGATGATTGTATGAACGAGACATATCAACACTATGGAAACAATAACAATTCTAAAATACACTACTGCGTTAAATTCATTTAACTTTGAACTACTTTTAAAGTTAATTTTTTCCACACATGAGTGGTTATATATTTAAATGTAGCCACAAGCTAAGGTTTAAAGTAGCCTATTAGGTGTACAGTACAGGTACTATACAGTTATTAATCTTTTAAATGGCATGTGTAATTTTATGGTTGATAGGCATGATCAAAATGTTCAGGAAAGTCTTTAGGTAGGCTTTGTTAAAGATGGTTTTTACCCAATTTTTTTTCACTAGTTTCATTTACCAAGAATATAGACTTACTTTACACTGACACGACATTATGAGGTCAGGCTTTGCAAAGCAAACTCTGTTTTGTGCGGTAAATAGGGCTTAGGCTCTATATATCTTTTAAGCTCCCACTATCAGAACCATTTTGCATGATGCAATAGCTTCAGTAATGGTAAGAAACATCAGTTAACAGTATAATAATACTCTATAAAAAATCAGCATTTAGTGTGTAGCAAGTGGGAGGGAGGCATGCAAGTTGTTTGGTACAGCATGCCCCAAGTCTAAATACAACAATGTTTGCATGAAGCCATGCAGGAACCCCCCCAAGCAGTCACAACAGTTTTGGATTGGTGGTTGTGGCTCTCTCTAAGGAGAGTAAAGAGCAGACTACCCAGTCTTAAGCTTAAGTGTTAACATGCATCTTGCAGGCTGCCACTTAACTAGAAGTAGATTTGAATTTACAGTGCTTGGTTCAGGCTGAATAGTTAATCGATTTAACGAGACCATGGAAGGGGAGATTTTGCATGAAGGGAAATGCTAACAGGTGAATATGAAAACGTAAAGTTCCTTACAATAGTTATCAATACTTGAATTGGAAAATTAGAGGCAGTTAGTGGTAACTATACTCAATAGTGACGAAAGAGATTTTTTTTACCAATCGACTCAAATAGTTTATGCATCCTATTTAAGTTTGTCCAGACATTTGACTTTAAGGAATTTGGGTCATTACAGTATCTGTAGCCATTTGGTGGGCAGTGAAGAAAACTTCACCCCATCCAGTACTGTAGGTCTGCAGTAACTAAAGAGTGAGGCATAGCTCTCCATGCCTAGCCTCCTAGCAGTTTATTCCTGGCACACTAACTACTGTACCTCTCTCAAACATTAACACTATCGCGCGCGCCACGAGAGCGCCGCAGACTTTTAACGTCATGAGGCTAATGGTGCGGGCGAGCGTGCAGCAATGCCTAAATGCGCATACTCGTTTCGGTTTTCTCACCTTAATTCTCATACTACGTCATTCGTTTTGGTATCATTGTGTTCACAATTAAATTCCCTGCAGATGTATATGCATATAATGTCCAAAAACCTGGCCAGACTCCCCACAGCAAGCCTAAAATTACCTGTGAATGCGCACCAATTTACACACCACAACCTAATGTGTATACTCGTTCAGTTTGATAACATCAATTTTCATGTTACATCGCTCATTTTGGTATCAAATTGTTCGCAATATAGGGCGCGCATTTTAAAACTAGTCCCATAATAATAGCACAATAAATAAAATTTTAACAAATATTTTAAAATTTAGACCCAAAACGTATTTATAATCTTTCAAGTGTTCTGACATCAAGTTCGTGTTACATCTTTCATTTTGATATCAAATTGTGCACATTCTAAAGGCGCTACTTTTGAAACTATCCCGAGGTCGATCTGATAAAAAATTAATTTTATACAAATATTTTTGTAGTGGACACGAGTCCTGGCCATGGCTAGGACCCAAGAGAAAAAAAAATGGACGTGATCGGTGTCCAAAGCAAGCGATAGTGTTAACATTATCATCATTTGTTTCTTGAAGTTGTGGATGGAATTGTCTTCAACAACCTGTTCCTTCAGTGCTCTTCTTGCCAACTGCTCATAAAGTAAACAAGTTTTTTTTTTTTTTTTTTTTTTCGCACCTCTCAGATTCTATGCATGCCCAGTTTTCTTCAGTGTTTTCTTGTTCTACCTCCTTTTAGTTTAAATAAGCTTCATTTGTCCACTTTTGTCTATTTCCATTCAGGATCCTGAATGTAGTGATTATATCCTCTGCTTTTTCTTCGCTTCTAAAACTGAGGGGTGACTTCACTCAACCTGTTCTCATAGCATAGCTCTCTCAATTCTGGTACTGATATAGTTGTAAAATTCTAAACTGCCTCGAACTTCCTTTTGTACCTGGATGTGATTCTGGGGGTTCTTCCCATTAACTTGAAAGCTTGGTCCAACAGGATGTTGCTTGCAGCAGGCCGGTTGGCCCCCTCATCCACCATAGCCCAGTTGATCTGGCACTTGAAGAAAACAATCCAGTTTTCTTCAAGTTGCTTTAGTTTGGTGCTTCCCAAGGTGTGGATTCCCTGCTGGTCTTGCATATGCCATATAGGAACTTAACCCTGGTACTACACAGCCTTCACATAAGGCCCTCCCATGGTGCACAAGAAAAACCACTTCCATAAAAGGTTTCCTTTCTGATGTTAAAATGAATTTGTTGCTAATATAATTTATTATTCCACTTGTCTCAATGGTTTTACATTTTTTTTCCTTTCTGTAATATTATTCAAAAGTGTGTAATTTGAGAAATTTAGATTATCAAATACAGTATTGTATGTGGAACATTTATATACAGTTCTAAAAAATGATATATATAGCATATCATTTGGACAATAAGTGTGTGTACTGTTATTACACTATATACATACTTTATATAACTATATATTTTTATGCACCATTATGAACCAATAAGCATTTCTAGTGAGTGTAATAACCTTACAAATGGTTATCAGCCGAGTCCCACATTTGTTCGTGTGAGACATACGCTCATATAGAGCATATTGAATGTCATATTTTATTCACAAATTTTTTACCATATTTTTTTTAAGTGTAATGATGCATTGAGCTGTTAGTAATACAGTATTATTTGTATCGCAGAATAGAATATTGCTATTATTACATTCCTGTCACTAAACCCTGAATATGAATGCATTTCCACAAAGTTATATTCTAAAGGAGCATGAGGTCCTTCTATGGTGTGTACATGAACAAAACAATGGCTTAGTGCTGTGGTTGTCCTAATCACACTGTGAACATCATAACTAGCATTGTGTTCATTTGTATCTGAACATTTTACACAGACTTCCTCAGTTAGGATCATCTATGACAGTATCAAAGCAAAATAATCCCTATTACCTATTTTATTTATTATTATTACAGGGTGCTATGAGCTCTTGCTGCATGCACCAACCTTGGTTGCTCTCTCAGTACTGAGGCTCTAACAGCCAGGAGAGATGCAGATAATTTTTGTTTTTTTTCAAGATGGCATCTGTTTAGTGGAGCCTTAACAGGATGACAGCCCTGTTCACCCGCGGGAGTTTTGAATTGTTTTTACCTAAAAATTTACCCCTGGTTGCAGTGGGCACCATCGAAGAAACCACTCTGATAGCAATGCACAGTTCAAGGGTTCAGGTTCCTTGTTTAGATTGTTTGATGTTTTTATTGGCTAGTTCCCAATGCTACTATTTCCTTTACCCATTTTCATTACAATTATTTGGATTGAATTCCAACAGCATTTCTGTCCACGGATGAAGTTTGTCAAGGTCTTCATGCAGAACTCTACTATTCTCTTCAGTTCTTTGCTCATTAACTATTGCATAACCTGCAAACAATGACATGTATGAGTGCACGCCCCCTTGGAGGCCATTTACATAAATTAGAAAGAGCAATTGTCCCAGGCCAGATCTGTGGAACCCTATACCTCTGCTACCTAACATTCTCTCTGACACTTGGTTTCATGTCCATTAGGTACTCTCATATCTTTTCTGTTATTGCCACTTGTGTGTTACTTTTTGTGAGGGGACTATATCTAATACTTTCTGGCAGTCTAGGAAGATAGTCAACCCATCCTTATCATATTTTGGAGACCCTGACATAGAAGTCAGTAAGTTTATCATGATTGTGTTTTTCTGAACTAGTGTTGTCTTATAAAACTTTACTGCCCTCAAATGTTCTACAGTTCTGACTTTTTTCAACATCTTGAATGGAATGCATGTTTGACATTGGTCTATACATAAGTGCTTAAATTAATGTCTGCCCCCTTTCTTGGGTAATGGAACTGCATTTGCATTCTCCAGATATTTGTTAACACTCCTATCTCTAATATTGAGCAATTTGGTCAAGGGGTAAAACAACCCCCCACAGCTTCCTTCAGTAACCATGGTATCTGGTCCAGTCCTACTGCTTGTGCTACATCCAGTTCCTCTAGGTGTCTTGCCATCTTCTACATTAATTTCAATAAGGTCTGGTGTTTGTACTCGTCTTTTGTCACCTCTCCTTGGACACCAATCTGGTTTCAGTTCGTAGACCTCCTGGAACCTCTTCATGAGTTTGATACTTTCCTTGTCCAAGTGTATTCCTCCATCTTTAGTTTGATCACATAATTTCATACTTTTTTGTCCTCTGTATGGTATATGGCTTTGCAACAATTTAAATTCTCTTGCCTTTGCCTCGATGTCATTTCAATCTTCGGTGACCCTCGAGAGTGCTATAATGATTAATGGTAAATATGAAAAATGGTAAATTAGAAATACTGTAGGTAGAAATTTACACAAATCAATGTAGGAAAAAGGCATTTTTTTATTTTATTAAATATATTGTACAGTACACACACGTACACACACAATCTGAATTTTGTTAGATCTATGTACAGTACCTTACATATTACTGATAAATGATATTTGAATGTTATATTTCAATGTTTTTGTAGGCCATCAGATTAATCCTATATGACCCAAATTTAATTGAAGCTAAATAGTGTATCCCAAGTACATAGTGAACATGAGCTTGCTATTTGTTAGCTACCATCTTTGCTACATATGTCTTGAAAATGTATGCTTTTAGCATGAAGTATCTGGACTTGCTTTTGAATATTGGTTAGCTGACACTAATGAAAAAGTTAATGAACTAAAATGATTTACAGAGGTTGTTCTATCTGCAAGTTAAGAATGCCATCCTTAGCGATGAAATATACTGCCCCCCTGAAACATCAGTTCTTCTGGCTTCATATGCAGTACAAGCAAAGTATGGTGACCAGAGCTCCGACATCCACAAGTCACTGGCCAATGATCACCGAGTTCTACCACAGCGTGTGATGGACCAGCACAAACTGACACGGGAGGAATGGGAAGAGAGGATCATCACGTGGTACCATGAACACAAGGGAATGCTAAGGTCAGATTAAGATTCATGTCTAATTTTACAAAGTGAGGTAGAAAAGGATGTCAAGATTTGGCTTGGAAGATAAAGGCGGCTTGAATGTGAACAAGTAGTTAAAATGGTTAAAAGGTGGCCCAAGCATATTAAAATTACAATTACTGTACTATACTATCGTTAAATTTGGTAGACCATCGTCTTAAAATTACAATACGAATGAAAACCAAGTAATTTGTAATTAAAAACTTTCAATTGAAAAACTATAGATGTTAGCTAGTAACATGGGTTGTACAAGTGAGTGGTGGTGTTGGGTTTAACAAGTGAGGAGAATGGTAGCATAAGCCGAACAAAAGGACTTACTGGAAGAATGAACATCATGGGTAATGGCAAGTGGGGCAGGTGGTAAGCTAACAATGTGTGGAGAAACTACTGTAGGAGAATTTGTTCATTTTATATATAGATTTTTGTTTTTTTGTTCTAAATAATTTTAAATTGTTTTAATTTTCTTACATGCAAGTGCAATTATTAATTATTTTATAGAGAAGATGCCATGATGGAGTACCTCAAGTTGGCTCAGGACTTGGAAATGTATGGAGTAAATTACTTTGACATCAAGAATAAGAAAGGGACAGAGCTCTGGTTGGGAGTGGATGCTCTTGGTCTCAACATTTACGAGAAAGATGACAAGTAAGTTAAAGATTTACAGTTGAAGAATGCCTTAGATTAAGAAATATCTTGTAACTTGAGTTTTGTCCTGCAAGACTTTTTTTTCTAGCATAGTTTGCTTCGCTAAATAATTTTGTTTATTTATATATTTCATCATAAATTCCTTACCAGTGCTTTAAAGTTTTTCAAACTTATGCATTTACTTCTGCTGGAGTATTCTATTAAGTATTTTTCACTGCGCAAATTAAACTTAATATTAAAGTGAGGCCTGGTAAAAAAAAAAAAAAAAAAAAAAAAAAAAAAAAAAAAAAAAAAAGTAACAAGTTTACCGAGTGACAAAATAAACTTCTTGAACAATTCTATGCAGCTTCATTAAACTCGGTTCACAGCATAGCATCTGAAATAATACAAACAAATGTATTAACAATATCTCAAACAGGAATTAAAAATCGTCACAGTAATGGACCTTACAATAAGAAGAGGGTGTTGTAATCTAATGAACATATTTAGAAATATCACACGGGTATAACTAGACAACTAGGTAGGCCAGGTAGGCCATAAAGATCTTGACCTTGCTCTCCCGTAGCAAACGTTGTGTGCACACGCAGTGATATTTCTTTAGTTTACTTTTGATTCCGCTAAATAGCATTTGAAAAGAATATGAGAATAGATGAAGGAATTGGCTGTCAGGTGATTAACCCTTAACATGCTAGGGGTATAATATCCTTTGTTCCCCACAGGCGCATGTAATTTTGAAAAAAAAAAAATTCTTTTCTTCATAACCTGTTAATTTGTGTTCACTGATTATGGGAAAAATAATATAAAAATCGTAAGTGGCATATATTGCCCGCTATAGGGTGGGGAAGTCTGGCAAAAAACAGGCGCTGACTCGGTGTGCGTCCCAGGCGGTCTGTTGATCGCCAGCTGTCAGGCCAGAGTTGCCACAAAGAGATAATTACCTAATTATTTCAATGTCTCCGATTGATTTTTCGTAGTTTTTTTGCTGTAATATTTATTCAATATTCAATAGTGTGTAGTGTGATATATTTATATAATAAAATGAGTGAATCATCGCTGTACTCAAAAATATGGTGTGCATATTGTTGATTCAATTATGTTCATCAAACAGTGAACAAATACTTTCTGTTATTACACTATACACAGGTTATATACAAGGATCTGCATGTTTTGTTCACCCTAACGAACCACTAAGTTGCTATTAAGAGTCAAAAAGTAACGCGGAGTGACCGCCATGTACCAGCCAGCCACTCACACCCTCCCTCAAGGTGAGTCAGGTGAGGTACACCCACCTGACTCACCCACATTCTCTTCCCACAATACTGTTTTTGCTTTTATTCATTAACAGACGCTATATATAAGTATTTACATTTGTGTTTCCCATAACGAACCACTAAGTTGGTATTCTCAGTGGCAGTGGTAGCTCGCCACTGGCTGCCACTCCCTCCCTCACCTCACCTGACTTGCCACCATTCTCCACCCACCATACTGTTTTTGCTTTTATATACAGACATTATATATAAGTATTTACATGTTTTGTTCACCATGACTGTACATCTAAGCTTGTATGGTGAGTAAAGGCACAAAGACGTAGGACCTCACACAGTCAACTGATGGCTGCCGCCCTCAAGGTCAGATGCACAAATATTTCTCCTCCAACAATACTATTTGTGGTGTTATTACGCTATATACACACATTATATATAAATATCTACCTGTTTTATTCACCATACTTGTTCAAGTAAACTGGTATGGTGCCCAAAGACCATCGTGGTAACCAGTAAACATCATGATAAATTGTGCAGACGACACCATCGCCCTCACCAAAATGGCGGCTCCCAACCTACTCCTCTTGCTGTTTATACCCTCTATACACATGCTATATATAAGTGTCTACATTTGTGTTCACCATAGCGAACCACTAAGCTGGTTTTTAGGTCTAAGGTGGCCACACACAGTCAGAAGACATCGCCACCACCCTCCCTCCATGGCACACAGCACTAAATATCACCACACTCCTCCTATTATCAGAACCCTGGTCAGTTTTATCACAGTCGATGCTGTGGTCACAAGCTGAACAGCAGTGCTGTGAGCTCATGCTGCATGCGTCAGGCTTGGTAGCTCGCTCAATACTGAGGCCCCTAACACCCAGGAGTTTGGCCCACGATTTTTTTTTAAAATGGCGTCTGTTTACAAGAGCCCTGATGAAGGTGTGGTGAACCCCGTGTATCCGCGGGCCGTTTAAATCTTGCTTAGTACTCTAACACGTCATATGACGTGATGCGCAATTTTGGGTAAGTTACTCAACATGTTATATGACGTGTTGTGCAGTTTAAGGGTTAAAGAAGTAAATGGAGGGAGAGTGGGTAGGTGTAGGGTGGAGTGACTTCATCATTAGAAGAAATTACAATAGCGTGATGCTATTGTGATTCTACCTCTTCATTTGACGAAGAGGTAGAATGGCCTATTGACATAGCTCGAGTGCATGGGGAAATTGTGTAAAACCCTGGTTTGTGTCTCGGAGAGGCTGCATGATCCAAGTAAGTTCAGTAGAACTTCTGGTTGCAGTTCTTTTGACCATGTTGTAGCTCAGTCGATTAAGGCAGCGTCTGGGATGCTTTCGGACATAGGTTCAAATCCTCGTCACGGTCCTTGTGGATTTGTTCATTTGATGCATTACGCTATTGTGATTTCTGTGTGTAATGAGGTAAAGACGAAGAGGTAGAACGGCCTATTGACATAGCTCGGGGTGCATGGGGGAATTGTGTGAAACTCTAGTTTGTGTCTTGGAGAGGCTGCAGGATCCAAGTAAGTTCAGTAGAACTTCTGGTTGCAATTTTTTTATCATGTCGTAGCTCAGTCGACTAAGGCAGCGTCTGGAATGCTCTTGGACGTAGGTTCGAATCCTCGTCACAGCTCTTGTGGGTTTTTTCATGGAGACAATGTTATCTTGGTCTGTCCTGGACAGATGTGTGACTTGGTCATCGTATCTTCAGTCACTTTGACTCGTCTGCACGTGAAAGCCCTACTCCTATTTCTTCGGAATTGTGTCCAGATATTGAGTGGATAGGGACAGATATCCATAAAAGGAGAGACACGGGGAGCAAAATTGGTGGTCACTACAGAGAAGTGCTTCCTAAAGCAGTACATGCACAAGGGGAAAAGGGGTGGTGATGAACTAGGAATGTTCATTTCCATTTTCAACAGTTAGTGGCTTGCGGGCCACTCGAAGTAACAGCTTGTTGGGCCAAGTTATCACAAGTTGAGCCTGATTCTAGGCCAGGCTTGTGGAGTAGACCAACTCCTGAAACCCTCCAAGTATGCTCCTTTTATGCACAGCTATATACTGTACAAAGAAAGTCTATGGTTAAAAGGCAAATTCATCAGGCTGAAGAGTAGAGGATGTGAGGAGTGTGGAGGAGATACCAAAAGGTTATAGGACATACCAAAAATTGAACCATGGCTACTGAAAGAGGCAGCAGGAACACACAGTAACCCAATAATTAGAAGAACAAGTCACTTCTCTTCCCCCCCCCCCCCCCCTCTCCCCCCTCCTCTCTCCCCTCTCCCAGATAAAATTGCACCTATTAATAATACTGACACATAAACCCTATGGGGGCATTATCCTACAATCTGAATTAACATCTGGGTATTTAAAAAAATGGCTTTAGTAAACATTGGATGAATGGGTAAACATGAAAAGTCTTGTCTGCAAATAGTTTCATTTTGATTATTACCAACAGCCAAGAGTCATTAATAATAGGCATGTTAACACTTTGCCTGGCCCGGCGCACGACCCCCAGCACACCCCCAAGGTCAACTGAGCATTTCCCATTAAGTTTGCACCCCCACTAAAATGTTTATACTTTTTTTTTTCTTCACTTTTCCCACCTCAATTTTCTGGCTATGTCGTTCATTTTGATACCAAATTGTTCGCAATACAATTCTCTAAAGGGATATACAGTATGCATATGCACCAGGTCCCAAATCTACACAGTAAAATAACAACGAACCGCAGTGAACCCTATGGAAGAAAATGCAGAATAGAACCGGTGAAGAGCAGGGGGGTGCCATAGGCACAATCAGAGAACACTGTATAAAAATCAGAGGTTCATGATTGTTCAACACCTTCCCAATGAGTAAGAAATATTGCCGGAACAACCGTGGACATAGAGAAAACTAGATACTGTAGTTTTCTAAAAAAAAAAAAAAAAAAAAAGTGCCGGACCAACCGGGCTGTGGTAGGTATGTGGGCCTGCGAACCTGAGAGCCGCTCCATGCAACAGCCTGGTGGACCAAACTCTTAAGAGTCAAGCCTGGCCTCAGGCTGGGCTTGGGTAGTAGAAGAACTCCCAGAACCCCATCAAGCAGGTATCATATAAGGTCAAATGGCCCGGTGCGCCACCCGCAGCACAAACGAAGTTAGGCAGTGTTCACCCACCCCGCACTCAACTTTTTATAATCTTTCCAGTTTCTAACCTCAATTTTCATGCTAATTTTCATTCATTTTTGAAAGGTGCGCATTTTAAAAATAGTCCCATAATAATCGAACAATAAATGGAATTTTAACATACTGTACAGTATTTTAATTTTGGACGCAGCTTGCGTTTTTGCACACACTTGAGTACTGTGTATATTCATATATGGACGCATTATGCGTTACCGGTCAGGCAGTGTCAACTGCTTCACTTTTATATAATCCTGAAATAAAATGGTGTTTAACAAATACTGAATTTATGTATTACCACTTCTTTTTTCCAGATTAACTCCAAAAATTGGCTTTCCTTGGTGTGAAATACGAAACATTTCCTTCAATGATAGGAAATTTGTTATCAAACCCATTGACAAGAAAGCTCCAGATTTTGTATTCTTTGCTCCACGCTTGCGCATCAACAAGCGCATCTTGGCCCTATGTATGGGTAATCATGAACTCTATATGCGTCGTCGAAAACCAGATACTATTGAAGTCCAGCAAATGAAGGCACAGGCACGCGAGGAAAAATTGGCCAAACAACAGGAGAGGTAAGGTTAAATGTGCTATTGTAACTTATAAATTTCCAATACATTTTCTTGTTTGAATGCTTTGCATTTTTTTCAGTGCATAAAATTAAATAAGAAATTACTGTCTAGAGTGCCTGCTACAATAAATGTTCTGGTTAGAAAAAATTAAATTAATTGTTACACGATATGGTATGGTGACTTGTTTCAGAAAAAAGGTCGTGTAGAGACTTTGTATGGATGCTATATAACATTTTTTTTATAATTTTCTTTATAAAGTCTTTGGTAGTCTTGAAATGGTTCTTCCTAAAAATAAAAATTAATGACTATGGCATACATTTCAGAGAGAAGTTGGCTCGTGAAATTGCTCTTCGTGAAGAGGCAGAGCGCAAACAGAAGGAATATGAGGAACGCTTGAAGTCAATGCAAGAGGACATGGAGCGACGGCAAAAGGAACTTAATGATGCCCAAGAAACAATTAGACGTTTAGAAGAACAGCTCAGGCAGTTGCAGGCGGCAAAGGAGGAACTAGAGGCCAAGCAGACAGAACTACATGATATGATGGTGCGCTTAGAACAAGCCAAGGAAATGGAGGCTGAAGAAAAGTACAAACTTGAGGAAGAGATCCGTGCCAAGCAAGAAGAAGTACAGCGAATCCAGGAGGAAGTAAATATGAAGGATGAAGAGACCAGGAAACTCCAGGTCAGTCTTTCAATCAGAACTTTTGTTTTATTCAAATTTAGAAATTTAGAGGGGGAATCTGTTGAACACAACAGCATACATATTTGGTTTAGTGATCCATTCCAATTGTTAAAAATGTTGTAATTTGTTTATAATGGAAATTATGGGAATCAAACTCTTTCTTTTTGGAAGAGTTGGCTCATATTAGCACAGCTGTGCCCTCTTGCTCTCATTGCTTTATCATTCTTGACAACTGATCCAATATACTGTACTGTGTTTCTCTTTCTGATCCACTATAACCATATTTACACTGTCAGAAATGATTCCAGCACAGTGTGTTGACGAGGATGAGAAGGACTCCTGAAATTTTTAGGAATATTACTTGGGTCTTAAGTATTCAGCTGAGGTGACCTTGGGTTGTTCTAATACCTAACATGTTGCTTAAGCTCTATTATGTTTATGTATTTAAAGAGTTTGATCTTGAAGATGCTAATAATATGCTTAAGGAAGTGATCTTCGGAAGATTGGAGGAAATGTTTAGTCGTCATCGGTCTGATGACTGGATAATCATGTGCAGTGGTACCTCAGTTTTCAAATTTATTCCGTTTCCAGAGACGGTTCGTAAAAAAAATTCATAAACTGAAACTAATTTTCTCCTAAGAAATAATATAAATTGAATTAATCCATTCCACCCCCTCCCAAATATTAACTTAAAAACACATTTTATACATTCTAATACTTATATTTTGTACTACAGTATGTACAAGTATATCTTACCTTTAATGATGACTTGTTGGCTTATGGAAGGTGAGGAGAAAAGGTGTTAGTGTTTGGAAGGGGAGTCCCCTTCTGTTATAACAGCAGTGATGACAGTTCTGGGGTACACTCTCTATGTTTTGCAGGCATACCACTAAGACCTGGTTGCCGCTCACTGCTTGCTTTTCCTACTAAGAATCTGCGTAAAGACACTTGTTTTCCTACATTTTTAACACTTTTATGTAGTGAGACATCACATTCATTCAATATGAATCTCTTGATTTTCCTCTTATCATCTTCCTTATAACTATTTTCTTAGGTTGAACTTTACCACTGACTTTCTTGGGACTCATGGTGTGATGTATAATAATTACTTTTATGTTCAGAAGCACAAAAACAATTAAATGCTTCACAAAGAATTAAAGCACGATCATCACTAGGCGGGAGACACTGGGAAACAAGTACGCCTCGCCAGTGCCACCAGGAACTATACTCTTGGTCGACCCATACATGTATTGACAAACTTGCCAGGAGGCAAAGCTCGTATACCGAGTCAAATTTGACAAAAAATTGAGCTCGTAAATAGGGACATTTGCCAACTGAGGTTCCACTGTACATCTCTAAAGCACTCCATTGGAATGCTGTAGTGTTACTGTGGTATTTGGGAGACCAGTTATTGTTATATCAACTCTTCCCCCCAACCCCCCCAGTTTTTCTCTTATTCTTAAGAGGTTTCCCTCCAATTTGATGGGCCTTGTGTTTCCAGCATTAAGTATCATTTATTTGCACTGAAGTTCAACTGTAGTAGGAACTTGTTTGACTATTTGTACGATTTGTCCAGGTAAACTTTGTTTCCCGTTGTCTTCCTCTATTAATAATCTTAATCTTTTTTGGTCCTTTTCAAATGTTAAGACAGTAGTGTCTGTTTCTTATGGAAGTTTGTTTACTCATCAGGATTAAGATGGTCTACAGTGGTCAAAGTACTGACCATTGTGGAGCTCTGAGGGTGATGTATAACTCTGGAAATCCCTTCTGAGTCTTCTATTCATACTGGCATGTAGTATGCACTTAACTTGTGCACAACAGTCTTTGAGTACTGTGTTTAAGGCTTTGACATGCACAAATATGCAGTTTGTCCACTCTTCTCTCTTGTATAATTTGTCACTGATAATGTGTTGTAAATATCCTCACTGCTAGCCTCTTTCTCACGATCTTCTTTCTCCTAGCAAGATATTAAAGTTAGGGACACTAGACTAGTTCAGAACCATCTGTGTTTTCTTCCAACATTTTTCTCTTGTTTCCAGTGTCTAATTATATAGTACATACATCATAGTAAGTGGCCAGCATAGGGATTTTGCTGTTATTTAGTACCCATAGCAAGATTCTGTCTAGACCCTCAGCTTTAGTGGTTCAGCTCCAGTAGATGTCTTCTTACTTCATCTCTGGTTCTGTTTTTTGACACGGTCCCACTCATTTTGAACATGTTTCCTTGCACTATTGTAAACATCTAGAAGCTCTTGTCAAGTTCTTCATATACATACTTGTCATTCTCTAAATGTATCTTATCTTTTTCTCAGTTTCGTTACCTGTTACTTGACTAATTTTATTCTTCCTGATGTTTCTGTGGAGATGTTTAATTTCTTTGCTTGATCTGCAGTCATTTTTAAATTTTGTTATTTGTGGCTATTGTTACCTCTGCTCTGTTATTCCGTTCTTGTTTCTCCATAGCCTCTTAGAAAGGCTATGGGGTAATCTAAACTGCCCATAAAAGATGGGAAACCCCTTCTGTAACAGAGGGGGGGGGGGGATATAGAAAATGGAATGATATTGTAATGAAGCATAGAAGGATGAATAATATGGATGAAAGGAGAAAGAGTAAAGAGGAGCAGCCTAGAGGAGGGAGGGTGAGAGTGGGGTAGAGGCAGGTATAAGGAAGGGAGATGAGATATTTTAGTGCAAAGGGAAAATTGAAGTAGCATTAGGGATGAAAGGTAAGGATTATACTGCAGATAGAATTAGGGAAGAGGATAGGATTAGTAAGAGAGAGAAAAGTGGGTAGAGCTGTGACCATACATTTAAATATATTTTAAGATGAGGAATGGAACTCTTTTCTTGTTTACAGTTATCTCTAGTTGATAACATGTAATATAGAGCATTAACCTCAGAAAATAATACATCCCACACCTCTAGGACATTAGTCAAAGACTATCATTCACAACTTAGATATTGAATTATACTGTACAGTACGTTGTTTCTCCTACCCCCCCCCCTCCCCTCCCTCCCTTTCTCCCCTCCCTCCCTTTCTCCCCTCCCTCCCCTTTCTCCCCTCTCCTCCCTTACTTCCCTCCCTTACTCCCCTCCCCTCCCTCTTCCTCCCTCTCCTCTGTGCAATTCAATAAATTAATATTTGAGCAACAATGAGCTTAGATTACACTAGTGCACCAGACATGTGTGATGATCTGAGGTATATAGTTTGATGGGATAATGTGTAATGAACCTTCCATGAGGAAGATGGTCTGTGAGGACAACCAGTAGTGTAGGACCATGTCTCATCATGGTAGTGGGCATGATAGAAAGTCTTTTCAATGTTCTGAGGTGTACTTTTAGGCTTTCCGTATATCGAAGAATGTGCATTTACTGAATGGTCTTTTCAATGCAGTATTCTTCCAATGTCCCTTTTGAGTCTGTTGTGAATCAGATGTTTTTGGTATTGCACGCCTCGGGCCTGTTTGCTCTCATAGTGGCATCTTGAGTGATAGTATTTTTCGACTATGGTAGCAAAGTGTTCCAGGATTGGTCCTTTTTGTTAAATCATTTTTTTTAATGCTGAAGATTTTCTTTTTGTCTTCACCAATATTAAGTTTTTGCCAGGAATAATGATTGATTTTTTAATGACTGAACACTTAGTTTAGGAAGTTTAGGAAAAGTTATAATCAGGCTATTGTCTGTGTTTTTCATTCTTATTGTCTGTTTTTCTTACTTATTGTGGAATTTTTCATAATAAGATCCTGAAGCAAGAGCTCCATGAGGGACAACCACGAGTAGGCGTAGGTGGTAAGGTAACTAGTGTAATGGATTTAGACTGTTGAAAATGTTTGGTTTAGTTTTGACGTGTCAAATGTTGGATAATACACAATGGCCCACCTAAAAGCCGGGTCTTAAGTGTAATGTCTAGCATGACATTATATCTTGTACTGCCCATTAAACCACGATCTCCCATAGACCGTATTTCTTCCCTACTCTTCCTCCCTTCTAACTTTACTCCTTTTGCTCATGTCTACCCTTGTGTTAATCTTCCATTTCTTGGCTTGTAAAATGTGGCAAAACATCTGGAGCTGTGAATTAGCATTTAATTGTCCTCTTAACTTGTACACTTTCCTCTCGCCTCTATTTTTCGTAACCCTTACTACTTCATTCTAAACATTTTTTACTCTATATGTAAAAATGCATGCATTCTTTGTGTGTACTTAATATATCGGTGCAGTATTTTCTCAATTTATTTTTCTATTTTCCCAATTATTTTGTGTGTGTATTTGCAATGCAATATGAAAAAAATTATGGACCCAGGTTTTTCCATACCAATACTTAGCTTTAATAAGGCAATGCCATAATTAAAAATTTTCATGCACGTTTTATTGTAGGAGGAAGTTGAAGAGGTACGTCGCAAACAAGAGGAGGCTGATGCAGCCTTGATCGCCGCTACGGCAACACCTCAGCATCATCATGTTGCAGAGCAAGAGGACACTGAAGAAAATGATGATATACCTAATGGAGACATATCAAAAGAACTCTACACTAGTGATGAGCCTATCGAGGACCCCATTGAGGAGAGGAGGACTCTAGCTGAAAGGAATGAACGGCTACAGAATCAGCTTAAGGTAAATAAGGAAGGCTCCTAAATTTGTCTGTATTCTGAGTAATTGATGCTTGTGGAGGTAGTGAATATTTTGTGCTTCATTCATTCACCTTTGTAAGGTCATATGTGAAATTACTTGCTGTATCAATTTACTTCGCTAGACTAATTTTCATTCAATCTTGAAAATGCATACATATAAAAATTGGAGTGGGGTTTTGCATGAAAAAAATATTGCTGAACAGCAAGTGGATTAAGGAAAGAGTGTAAGTGATGTCATTTGGGTTGAATACAAAAACATAAAAGATAATTATTAAAGTCGGTGTTTAATAATTATTGAACAAAAGACATGTTGGAAGATTTTAAACTTTCATTAATTTCAAGTGACAATGTAACTTAAAAGTAAAGACTAGCAGGCTAAAATAATCGTTTGTTTAATACAATGAAAGGGAAGATACATCTATATAATTTTAAGAATCAAAGTTATTAATAAACACTTTCGTGGGCCTGGTGGACCACCCACATCGCACCGCAAGGTAGGCCGGGCCTTGCCGTTTAGCACACAACCAAATGTCAAACTCTTACTCGCAATGTTTATACATACACTAATATGAATAAGCAAAAATTAATGGGCGACGGTGGTGGCGTCATGCCCCGAACTGCGTGTATTGTTTTGATGACTTTGATAAACGTCATCAGGATATCAGTGTTAGACTAGCAGTTGAGACTTTGATTATAAGGTTTAATAAATGTTTGTCCTCAGGCTCTGAAACACGACCTCGAGTCTACGAGGGATACTGAAAAGGAGACGACAATGGACAAGATTCACAAAGAGAATGTTCGACAGGGGCGAGACAAGTACAAGACGCTGAGGGAAATTCGCAAAGGCAACACAAAGCGACGAGTAGACCAGTTTGAAAATTTGTAAACATGCCATAGGACTAGCACACCAAGTTTCTCTCAAACACATACACACACACACATACAAACACACACACGTTTTTCTGTGGAAATCATCTCTTCAGTTCTTTGTCTACTTCATACAGGCTTATGTTAAACAGTGTTATGCTTTATAACAGGAAAGTAAACATCTTAGTAAAAATTCTAAATTGTAGCTAACTGGAAACATTAAAAATATTTCAGAGCTCGGTTTAATAAATATTAAATGAACAAATCTGAAGTGTATATGGAGAGTTATCTAGGGACGTCTGTGTCTCATTTGGGTAAGAAAATTTTAGCCACGTTCTGGATTATATAGACGTGTATATTGTAGCATTTTTTATGTGGTGAATATTTGAAATTAGAATGGTCTCGCATGCCATTTATGCAATAGTTAATTGTAATTTTGTTTGTAATGAAGTTTGTGGCATACAAAACACTTTAACTAGTGTGAACAATGTGATACAAACCATTTCAGATGGTGCTGAACCATACAATAACAAGTCTTGATAATTCACATGAAATTTGATATTTTGCCTTTATTCCAATTTTCTTGTAAAGGTTTGATTAGCTGTTTATTGATATTTTTCATGAACTGCACAATGATTTCATTGCCAGTTTAATTTGTTTTCCCTAAGCCTTACTTCTCTTGCAGTTTATATAGGTAAAGAAATGAAGTTAGAATTAGATTTTTACACACTTTAATGCTCTGGATTAAATTAGGGCCAAGCATTGTTACGAATGTAAATATATGTTGGTTGATGGGTAGTCTATTTTGAATATTGAAATTTGTATTTGTACCATCTAAGTATAGTCCCCCCTCCCTCATCCCCCTCCCCCCTTTTAGTGTTGTACAGTTTGATTCCCTGAGAAGCTCCTGATACAGTGGTGTAGATCTGGTCTTTTAATGTTTATATTATATATATCTATATAAATATATATTGTTTTGGCAGGGGAAGGATATATGATGCAAAATATTTGTTCCTACATAGGTCTTCCCACCATTTTAATTTCACTTTTGTGTTTATTGTATTCAGAATAGTAACCTTTACCTTTTTTTCCCCAATCTGAACAAGTGGTACCATACTGGATATTATTTTGAGTTTGCAAATACTAAAATTTTTGAATAGTTGTAATATATAAGTCAGTTATTTAATAGTTTGAAGAGATCTGAGGGGTGATTAATGTTTTTCTCTTAATTATGTGGAATGAAACTTCAAGCATTACAAAGATTTAGCCAAAACGATGCTTTCTTGCTTTTTTCAAGATTGTATGTGCTGCCAGTGCCTATGCAACAACCTTCCTCTTTCACTGTCCTCCCAGGTCTTCCTGTACATGCTTACTTTTGTCTCCGGAGAATCACGGAGATTCCCTTGCCTGTGTAAATATCATCTTAAGGTTCCGAGGTGCTTTTCTCTTGATGTACTAAACCAAAAAAAAGTATTAAAAGTGAAGAAGTATATCCTGCATGGCACTGAATTGTACTGTTGCTGTTTGGAGTTTGGCAGGATGTGCACAAGGTTTTGATGTATTTATTTCTTGTCGTGGATTTTTATTGCAAGTCATATTCGTGCACAGTTCATTTTGTAGGAAGATAATATCCAAAAGATTGCTGGTATAAAGATATTCCTAAGCACCTAGGACTGTTAGTCACCCATTTTTTTTTTTTTTTTTTTTTTAAAGAATGATAATGTTAATATCTACATTATTTTATAGTTGTAATAACAAAATATTTATGAACTTGTATAACAATAAATCAAAATACTTAAAACTATTTTTTTAAATACTTACCTGAATGCTTGTAGAAGCTTACACGAAACCAATATATATATATATAATGTGTGTATGTATATATATATTAATATATATACATACAGCATACATATATTTATTTATATACTTTATTGCCTTGTGTGGTAGTAAGTATACTGTATTTAAATTTGTCTTGGCAGGAAAGTAAGTTTTAATATATAAATATCAATCCATCTGGGGCAATGTAAGCAGTGCAGGGGGACATAGATATAGCTCACCTCATTGGCACTGAGGTTGTACGGAGAAGTCGTGCAGTGGCAAGCCTCGGTGGTTGTATTCTCTTAATCTAGCCTTTGATATGAATACCCAGTATCATACTGATGAGGTAAATATAAGTCATTTTTTGAATAAAGTTTAAAGATATTTAATGTTTTAATGTGTGCATCCTATGAAAGTTTACTGTATATATATCTATAAAACTTTTTAACTATTGACTTTCTTTTAAAACTGTCAAAATGGAATTTACCGTTTACCTGCTGGCAGATTCTCTTGGGAAGATGACGCGCTCTAAATCCTAAATTATTGAGTTAAAAATAACAAATTGATGCAAGCTTGTTTGCCGTGTGTACATGTGTATGAAGCAAGATTGAAATTTTTAGATATAACTTATAATTTTTTTTTTATACTGTATAAATAGGGAAGGGAGTACCACCTCTGGCTGGAAGACGGGGACTCCCTTAGCCTCGTAGGAAACCACACATAACACATTAGAGGGAATGTTTAGGTCCCCTCCAATACAGTTTGTGTGATCTTATAAATAATGAAACTTATAAATGTGTGCTGGATGGTGTTGATTCTGCAATTGTATGCCACAAACTGCAAACAGTCTTCCAGGCTTGGTGCCTTTTGATAAGTACTCATTCTCAAACTACAAAGTATAACGAAATAACACATTGGAGTGGACATTTAGGCATTACATAACTTTTTCAACACTGGATATTTGAGGGTTACAGAAGTATAGTATTGCTGTTCATATTTAGTGACAGGTGGCTCTGTAGGGTACTTGCCATGCAGTTCTTTGCATATCTTTCTTTATTCAGTAGAAGTGAAATGTGAACATAGTACAAAAAATTTAGGAGTTATCTATAACAGTAGTGATATATAATTTCATTCAATATTAGTTTACATCAATCTTATAAACAGCTCAGTTTCTAGTTTTAAGATTTATTGCTCTAGTGTAGTTACAGGATGAGAGCTATGCTTGTGATGCCCTGTCCCCTAAGGACTTCCGCCCTATTGTCCTCACGAGTTGTCTGTAAGCTCTTTGAACGTATGGTTAACGTTCGTCTGATGTGGTTCTTAGAACACCATCACCACCTCTCCCCTTCTCAATTTGGTTTTCGCAAGTGCCGCAGCCCAACAGATGTCCTGGTGAACTTGGTCTATATTCGTACTGCTTTTGCTGCAAAGACTTCTGTTGTTGCCATCCTTTTTGACCTGGAAAAGGCTTACGACGCCACTTGGGGATACAGTATCACATTGTCCCAACTTCATTCTTTTGGCCTTCATGGTAATTTCCCTCTCTTTTTCCAAAGCTTCCTCTCTCGTCGTTCCTTTCGAGTGAGGCTTGGTGCCACTCTCTCTGCCTCTTTTTGGCAATACGAGGGTGTTCCCCAGGGTAGTGTTCTGAGCACTACTCTCTTTCTGGTTGCCCTCAATGGTCTTCTTTCCTCTCTTCCTTCTGGCGTCTTCTCCGCTCTCTGTCTACGATCTTACACTTTGTTGTCGGGGTGGTGATTCACCTCTCCTTCAACAGCAGCTTAAACTTGCGATTGATGCCGTGTCATCTTGGGCCACTGATCGTGGCTTCAGGTTCTCTATGTCTAAGACTTGTGCAATGACTTTTACTCGGAAGCATGTCGTTCTTCGTTCTTCGTCTTTTGTTCTTCGCTTTATGGTCGCCCCTTTGTGTACAAGGATTCCACTAAGCTTTTGGGATTCATCTTTGACACTCTTTTGTCTTTGTCGCCCCATATCTCTTACCTTCGAGTTGAATGCTTTAAGGCCCTTACCCTCCTTCAGGTATTGTCCCATGCTTCTTGGGGAGCGGATAGGCGCGCACTCCTTGCTTTACATTCCTCTCTCATCCTGTCTAAACTCAATTATGGTTGCCCTGCTTACTCGTCTGCTTCTACTCTTCGCCGTCTTGATGCTTTGCACCATACTGGGTTGCGCCTCAGCTTTGGTGCCTTTCGTTCGACTCCTGCCCTCAGCTTGTATGTTGACACTGGCTTCCTATCTCTCCAGGACTGCCATGATCGCTACTGTCTTCGCTATCTGGCGCGGTCCTTGCAACATCCATCCTCTCGCCTCTGTCGTGCTTTAACTTTTACCCCTCCTGTGGTTCCTGTTCCTCTTCACCAACTCCCTCTTTCTACCTGGTTATCTTGCTTACAGGATTCTCTTTCAGTTCGCATTTCTAATATTTCACCTCGTATTGTTCCTTCCATGCCCCCCGTGGAGAGTCCCCCTTCCGAAGTTTTGTACATCCTTGACCCGCATCCTCTTCACCGGTGGGTCTAAGTCTGCGGACGGTGTAGGCTACCCTTAATCTTACTCACTGCCCCCTTCAGAGCAGGAGATTGCTGAAATAGAGGGAATATAGAGATCATATACAGCACGCATAGACACGATAAAGCACCTAAATTATTGGGATCGTTTCAAATCCCTCCAAATGTACTCACTAGAAAGAAGACGAGAGAGATATAAAATAATATACACATGGAAGATACTGGAGGGCCAGGTCCCAAATCTACACAGTAAAATAACAACGTACTAGAGTGAACGATATGGAAGAAAATGCAGAATAGAACCTGTGAAGAGCAGGGGTGCTATAGGCACAATCAGAGAACACTATAAACATCAGAGGTCGCGGTTGTTCAACACCCTCCCAGCAAGCATAAGAAATATTGTGGGAACAACCGTGGACATCTTCAAGAGAAAACTAGACTGTTTCCTCCAAGGAGTGCCGACCAACCGGGCTGTGGTGGATATGTGGACCTGCGTGCCGCACCCAGCAACTGCCTAGTGAACCAAACTCAAAAGTCAAGCCTGGCCTCGGGCCGGGCTTTAAGAGTAGAACAACTCCCAGAACCCCCATCAACCAACCAGGTATAATCAGGCATCACTAAAGCTTTTACCCTTCCTACGGTTCTGAAACGCCTTTTCCTTGAGCCCTTTTCTTCACACTCGTTCTGTTTCCATCTTCACCGATGGGTCTAAGTCTGCGGACGGTGTAGGCTACTCTCTTGTTTTTCCTGACCGCTTTTATATGTGTCGCCTACCTCCGGAGACTAGCATCTTCACAGCAGAACTTTATGCTATTCTCTATGCTCTATATCTCCTGCTTTCTCGTTGTCAATCTTCCTTTGTAGTTGTTGTTGACTCGTAGTGCCCTCATGGCTCTCAGGTCCTTTAATCCGGTCCGTCCAGTGGTTGTCGAGATTCAGCATTGGCTGTTTCTTATTTCCAGTAAATTTAAGTCAGTTGAGTTTTGCTGGGTTCCCAGCCATATTGGTGTCTATTTAAATGAGTGTGCGGATGCTGCCGCTAGGGAAGTTGTCCTCTCTTATCCTATCTCCCATAAAGGTATTCCTTATTCCGACTTTTACCCAGTTATTCATTCTTACATCCTTACCCGTTGGCAGGCTTGTTGGTCTTCTGTTACTGATAACAAACTGCGTACTCTTAAGAGTAGTGTGTCCTCATGGCCGTCCTCCTACCACCGTAACCGGCAATGGGAAATGGCTCTGGCAAGGTTGCGTATTGGCCATACACGCTTAACTTAGTCACTTAATGGAGCGCCGCCGTGCTCCTTATTGTCCAAATTGCATTGTCCCTCTTACGGTCGTGCATGTCCTTGAATGTCCTGACTTCCAGGACGAGCGTGTGTCTTGCTTTCCGACCGTCCCTTGCGGTCGCTTGTCCCTCGATAGAATTCTTGGTGAATCTGATACTTTTGATATCGTTCGCCTTAGGTGTTTCTCTTCTCATATTGACATCCTTGGTGATATTTAGCCCCTTCTGATTATTCCACACATTTGATGGTGCTACATAGCCTTCCCGGTTTGGTGCCTTCTTTTGATAATTACTTACTTGTGATGCCCTGTCTTCCCAGTACTGTCATATGAGCCTTTAAAACTACTGACAATTTTGGCATCCATCCCTCTACTTTCTTACTTAAATTGTTGCAACCATTTACCACTTTGCAAAAGTGAACTTTCTAATGTTTTGTCAGCAAGGTTGCTTTTAATTTGAATCTGTGTCATCTTGTTTTTGAAGCTGCTGTTTTCAAGAATTGTCAATTTTATCGATTACTGTTAGCATTTTGTACGTGGTGATCATATCGCCTCTTTCTTCTATCATCTAGCTTTAGTGCATTTAATGCCTCTAACCTCTCCACTTGCTTATGTTTTCAATTCTGGAAGTCAAATGTTGGAAAGATGATACTGAGCTAAAGAAATACATAGTAGAAGCTGCTGCAAAATAATCAGAAGTGATGTCAAGTGTCTTGACACTCTTTAAGTCAATCGAAGATGGAGAAACACCTTCTCTTAATGAAGGTGTATCTCCATCTTCAAGTAACCTCTCTGCAGAAAGTTTACTGGATTGCATTCCCAACAGTCTAAAATTGCTCTTATTAAAAGCATTTGAAAAGGATCCTTCCATAAAAATACGTGGAATTGGGTAGAGCATTATGCAAGGTATCTGTCTTGGAGCCGGTCGGCCGAGCGGAGATCACGCTGGACTTATGATCCTGTGGTCCTGGGTTCGATCCCAGGCGCCGGCAAGAAACAATGGGCAGAGTTTCTTTCACCCTATGCGCCTGTTACCTAGCAGTAAAATAGGTACCTGAGTGTTAGTCAGCTGTCACGGGCTGCTTCCTGGGGGTCGAGGACCGGGCCGCGGGGACACTAAAAAGCCCCGAAATCATCTCAAGATAACCTCAAGATAGAGGAATACAGTGTCAATTAGATAGGTTTGTTTCTTCAGCCACTCCACAACTTTAGGTTAAGGTTTAGGTCATTGACGTTCTCCATCATCATCAGATGACAATATTATAAAACCACACCAACAAATTCATAGATGACACTAAGATTTTTGTAAAGTGGGCAGTGAAGGCTTTACAAAAAAGATCTACAAGAACTCTACAAATGGTCGGAAGGCTGGGAAATGCTTTTTAATATCGAAAATGTAAGACCTGGTATGTGGGGCATAACATCTCACATCACCACTACCAAATTAACAACATAACCTTGCAGCAGATTGATGAAGAAAAGGACTTTGGGATCAGGAACCATCATTCACTGAAAGTTGCACAACAAGTGGGAACAGCAGTAAAAAAAAGTTAACAAACCCTAGGT